CGAGTCTGGAGGGCGCCGGGTGGCGGCAATGGCTGGCTTCATCCATTGAGCTGTCAATCAGAGCATCCATCAGAGTGCAGGCAGTGCATCAGCACACACGAATCTCAGTGTGGTGTGTGGCAGTGATGTGCAAGTCGGGGTGGTCCAGTCCGCATCAGTGCAGCTGCGGTCTTAGGCAGCTGGCAGAGGCCGGGCCCGGCATGGCCGTAACCCTCATCTTCGAAGAGAAGGCGTGGGACCTGCCGGGGCGTGACTCTCCAAATCTCACTTGCTGCCCAGTCTGTGGTCTTCGGGTGGACGGAGGGGACTGCAGCCAAAGAGTTCGGAACACAGCTGCGTTCAGCCTGGCGCCTGGATGACATAGATCACACCGTTCTGAGAGGACGAGAGGGGAGCACAAGGGATCTAACTCAGACTGAGGCCGTTCAACATCTAACAGGTCGGAGCAGCATTTCTCAAATTTCTTTCTTTCCTACGAGAGGAACTTCTGTCTCTTGCCTTTTGACCGAGAGGCCTCTCTTCCCTCGCCGAGCTGGAAATCCTGGCAGACCGTGCCTCAAGGGCCTGCAATCGCGCTTGCTCCCAGTTCATGACATGACAAGTAGGGCATCCCAAGAGCTGCAGCGATGTAGAACCTCCCACACGCCCTGCATGACAGCAGACTCCCGGTTCGGGAACAGCCGCCAGCATTGTCCAGACTGACCATCATTCATTCATCGCGCCAGCCCTCCAGTCCACCCAGTTTGGCGATCCGATCCGTTCCACCTGTCACCCTTGATCTCGTTCACTGGCGGCTCCGTTTGCTTTAATTGAATAAAACCGTGAGGCAAAGAGTGAAACGAACGCGAACTCCCCTTTTATCTCATAAAGCAAACGCCGCCACCATGACTGACCGTTGTGAATGCATGATTCCGTTTCCGTTCGGTCTGCTCTTGTTCAATTAATTCTTGCCTCGTTTCTTTCCTCTTCTGCGTTGTAATTAATTAAACATGGGGAAGGAAAGGAACGGAAACAGCATTAAGGATTCGTGGAAGACGAACGCAGTGGCTTCGTTCACTTACTCACTTCACTTTCCAACCTACGATCGAGACATGAACGAAGTGAGCCAGGATGAACCAGCTTGGCCCAGGGCGACGGAAGAGCGGTTGATGTATCCCGGTTGTCACAACCTGGCAAGGCGTCACGAGATACTTGTACTCAAAGTTCTCTTCTTCACATTCCACCGCCAGCATCCACCAGCACCAGCCCGAGAGCTGCCGGGTGAGAAGTGAAAAGGGGGGGCGGGGATGGAGTGGGTGCTGAGAGGGGGAGAAGGGCATGAAAGGGGGGGACCAGGCCTGCGGCCTCGGCGGATTTGCTGGATCAGCGGTCTTGTCATGATCTGCTGTTCAGCTTTCAGGAAGGTATACTCTCAAGATGTTTCGCTGCTCTCATTGCGCGACAGAACCGTCTCGCAAAAGGCGCTGCCTGTTCCTGACCGGACTTGCAACAGGGGAGCATCCGATTCCTGAAAGGTAGGACACTTTAACACTGAAGCAGTGTCAGAGCCCCGTGATTAAGGACAAACGTGGGAGATTGCCAGCTTTGGGTTTAGGGATGTGTAGCTGTCAAGGAAGCAGACCCCCCGGTGCGCATCACGCCGCGTGATGCCGGAGTCCCGGAGCTTTACCAAATCGTAGCCGAGTGCCGTGAGCGAGCAGGGATCCCCCAAAAGCAGAGGGTTTGGGCCACAAAGGGCCCCTCCCACTGCAGAGTGATTGTGTCGCTTGTTCCCGCCAGATTTTTGAGCGGCGATATCCCGAAGCGGCTCAACATCGATTTCGCATCGTCCACCGCTAAAAGCAATGCAGCAAATGCTGGCCATGTAAACTTCGGTGAATTGCAGATCTTCGGTGCAAGGCTTCTCGAGCAGAGCTCGCAAGCGAGTCCGTCCCCAAGGCCGGGTACCAAAGACTACAAAACCCCCAACAGAGAGCGAAAAAGATGTCTCCGAATCAGATTTTGCGAGCCGAGGCCTCACCCGGCCCAGGAGGCCAATGGCTGGCCGATTTGGGAAAAGGGCAGCTTTCGAGTACGGTCCGATCCGGGGGGCAGGTCTTTCGCCAGAGCCAAGGGCAGAGAAGCTCTTGCTGCCGCCGCAGCGGAAATGCCCCAGCGGCGCCAAGTTTCAGAAGTGCCTTCGGGGCAAAAATGAGAAGCCAGGATAAGTGACTTGTCCCGTCCACTCAGAGCTCACTCTGAGGGCCGGCGGAAGCCAGCTCCAATTCCTGCAGATGCTGGAGGGAAACAAAAACCCGAAGGTTGCAGACTCAGTGCAGTCAGAGATAGTCAGAGCACATCAGAGCATGGCCACCCAAGTTGGGTCGTTAAGGCGCAGCTGGAAGAAGGTACAGTGCTCACCGCCGACGAAGTGGCAAGGCCGAAGTACAATCGGCGTTGCGCTGTTGATTTGGTCGCGGGCAAGTTGGGCTCAGCAGGCACAACCAAGTCGGAGACTGTTGGACCATTTTTCAGGGCCGTGTCTACGATGCGCGGGTCATAGCCGGTGAAGCAGTCGTGCTTCTGGTAACCCAGTTGCTGTGGTGTCGTGAAGAGCTTCTGTTGCCAAGATTTCTGCCTACATCGATTTCCATCCTGGTGGCAAAAAGCAGATCATGCAGGGGGTGCAGGCCTAAGCGACGCAGAGTGGCAGGCAACAATTAGGTGGTGCTCTTCCCATGTCGGGGGCCAGTTCTCGCACGTGCGTAGAGAAGCTAGAGGGCGTCCCACTTACCACCCTGCAGTGTCAGACCTGACTTCCCGAAATCATTGCACTAGTTGCTTTTGAACGGTTGCAAGGCCGGGAAGGACATGACTAGCCTCTTCCACAAGGCACACCCATGGGTGAGCCGGGGGCCTTGGCTAAAAGTGACAAGAGAACCTTCGTCACGGACAGCAAAAACAGTTGCTTGAGCAACTGCGTTCGAGTGTTTCAGGTATGGAAGGGCTGGTCGGCAAGCGTGGTTCCTGGAAGACGTGGCTCGTGCTCGCGCGTGCGACTCGAATGTCTCACTCAGGCTGTGCCTTGGGCCGCTTATTGTAAAGCCGCCGACGGCGAAGAGCCAGCCACCGGTCGCCAAGGTCCGCTTGCAGCTATCCGGTCTACGAGTCTAGCAAGCTTCTGCAGGCTACTCCCACTTACTACAATGCCGTCACTGAGGCGGTATCCCTGTAGTAAGCGGGGCCTTCAGACCCAGCCGAAGTGTTTGCAGAAGGACAGAATGTTTGTGAGTCACTTGGCCACGCACCAAGGTCAGTCCCAGTCTCACGTTTGAGGGGTGTGTACAGCTTTAGGATGCCTTCCTATGGTTTATGCGAGAGTGGCCCAATCCACAAGCTCGACAGCCACTAGTGGGGCCGACACCCACCGTTTGCGGAAAAGAGAAACTGCGGGATATTCTGCAGCTCGACGTGTCTATATGGAGTTTGCATTTCAGCCATCTCTCCTGCTCCTGCTCCCCGCGTGCCAGCTCGTGGACGTGAAGGGCCCGAGCCCGATACTTGGCCACCCGGAGGCCGCTTCAGAGGGTGAGAACAGCGCAGCGAGCATCTTTCTTGCATGGAAGCAGCTTTCAGCGTCTGTGGCTGCAGGAGCATGCCTGGTGCATCCAAGGGCGGCCAGGTTCCAGGCCTTTCGTGATTTCTAGCACCCTTCCGAGCTATGGCAGAGACGATGCTCATAGCGAGTTGATGGGGCTCTGCTGCATATCGTTCAAGCTGCTTGAGCACTGTAGCTGCCCCGCCTCGCCTGTCTGTGACCTCAATTCACAAACCGGCCTCATGGATCCTGAATCGGGTTCAGCGCCACAAGTCAGCTATACCCCCAGCCAGGATGATTCTCAATCCCTGGGGGTAATGCAGCAGATGATCCAAGCCTTGCTCACGAGACTAAAGACGTTCATTGATGCTTTTGGGCCTAAAGAGAAATCGGTGGGTGTGGAGAATCGGTTCTACTTCGACGAGGTAGAGAAAGTCTGGAAACTGCGAGGTGGCGAGACGGAACAAGAGCGGGCAGAAGCTGAAGCTTTCCGGTTCCACACTGGTAGAGGCCTGTCGAACAACCTGGCACCGGCAACGACGGCTTGCGATGCGACACGGGGGGATTGGCAGAATGGTGGTCTGCCACCACCTCCGCCAGCCGCAGGCCCTGTAAGTTCGTCGATGCACAGAGGCATGGAGCTGCCCTCGCACGCAATGCCGTCCCTGGCGCATCCAGTGTATGCTCCGCAAGGTCTGAGCCAGAATGGCACCGTCACACCTCCGCCTGCTAACCCCCGACCGGAGGCAAGCAGTGCTCCGCCGCTTGCAAATCCCCTTGGACAAATCGCGAAGCAGCCCCTTTCGACTCCTTTTGGGGGGCAGCCCGGCCAAAGGCCTGTGCTGGCATCTCCCTTTGCACCGGCACCGTAGAAGGATTTCGGATTGCACCAAGAACAAGTGCAAGCTTCTCCGCACCCTTTCGTCGTAGATGGAAACAATGCAGACTGTCTCACCCCGGGCTATCAAGGCACAGATGCTCACAAATTCGCGCGTGTGGACAATGCAAAGTTTGTGTGCGCTGCCAAGGTAAAGGTTGCAGGTTTGTGCATCAGGCCTCGCAGGAACACTGCATGGTGCCGCAGGTTCCGGATAGAATTCCAGATCACACACCGCTCCGTGCTGGTGACGTGGCTCAGGACAGACTGCCTTTGCGGTGCCTTTGCTGCACCTTTGACGCATTTCTTTCGTTGCGTGGAAACGCGCAGGATCTCCGACCTTTGAGCTGCATCCGCTGTCCTTTTCCCCCCCTTGTCCGGTCGTCGACTCCAGTGGCTATTTTGGGCCAGGTGATTTCTGATGTAGCTGCATGCTATCAATCGTTGCCAAAGGAACTTGCCGACTTTGATGTAGTTGGGGAAACGTCTCTAGCACGTGCAAGACAGAGCTGCTGGAAGAGACCTCCGAGCCGCACCGCTGTACAGACCGCAAAGTCTTCCCACATCCCTTATGGTAAGGACAAAGCTGTTCAGCCCAGGTGCGAAAGAGTAGATGGCTTGCATTGGCTTGCATGCACCGTGGTTCGAACATGTACGAGTTGTTGCAAGCGCCCTGCACACGCGAAGATGCGGCTCCTTTGAAAGACACGTCGTACTCGGTCCCTGCCATGGATGACCTGTGGCAGATAACCGGTGGATTGTGTGGGGTGGTAGAGGCAGGCGGCACAATAGGCCCTTCTGTGCACACGAAGCTAGTTCCCAGTGGACTAGTCGTTGGCGCGGAGCTGGAGGGTGATGGCGCCACGACGCCAAGCCAGAGCCTGAATGAGCGTCAGCCACGGCGGTGGTGCTGCTGCGCAGGGCGTGAAAGCGCGAGAAATCTCCGCGTAGGAAGCGAGCTTTTAAGATTCGAGGATCTTCTGGGGGCTGTGCTGGGCACTGCTGCAAGGCTCGTGCGCCTAGTTCATTGCCCTGTAAGTTCTGGAGCTCGAGTACGCAGAGACATAGTCCTACACGTTGGTGGCGACGAGAAGGTTTTGGCTGCCGTCAATGAGTGGACCAGTCGCTTGAATGAGAAGTGCAAGATAAAAGGACAGCGTAACTATCATGCTCTCATTAACCCTGCCAGCGGCAGCGGACAGGCTGCATCTAGGTGGCAGCAAGCTCGCGAGCTCTTCGATTCTTTGACGCACTTGAATATCACTGAATCCTTTACAACACGTGCTGGAGAAGCCGGTGAGACTGCTTCCCAGCTGGATCCCCGCCAGTGCGACGGCATCATTGTGGTCAGTGGCGATGGCATGGTCCACGAAGTTTTCAACGGCCTCGCTTCACGGAGCGACCGAGCGGAGGCTTTGCGCATCGCCGTCGGCCACATTCCTGCAGGTAGCGGGAATGCCCTGGCCAAGAGCATCCTCCACTCCTCTGGTGAGGCCTTCGGTGTGTTGGATGCAGCCTTTCTCATCGCAAAGGGCCACCAGCAAGACCTGGACCTGATGACCGTGTCCCAGCCGAACCAGCCAGATCGAACCTCCTTTTTGGGTTTGTCTGCGGGCGTCATCGCCGACGTGGACCTGGGTTCTGAGTGGCTGCGCTTTCTGGGAGGCTTCCGGTTCACGCTCTACGCTGGGGTCTGTATCGTGTATCCCCGACCACTGCTGGCCGAGCTGCATTATTGGCCCAGCCATGCCGGCCAGCCGCCTATGCCGCCTCCGAGCATTGACTCCGAGCTTCCAGCGGGGCCATGGTCCTCCATCTCGGGACCCTTCACCGTTTTCTGGAGTTCCAACATGGAATGGACTTCTTACAACACGCAGTTGGCACCGGGACAGTCCATGGGAGACGGCGTTTGCTCCATAGTTCTGCTCCGCAACGCAGGACGGGTGGCTCTGACTCGCTTCCTACTCGCCCTGGAATCGGACGGTGGGCACCTTGATGTGGAAGGCACCGAAAAGCTGGATGCTTTGCTGTTCAGAGAGCCCGAACAAGGATCAACGCAGGCAAACAACATCACACCAACGACTACCGACCCATGACGGTATGTCACATCAGTCGACCTCATTCATATTCACCAGTAGATGTTCCCTTGCCCAGCTGAGGAGTGCAGGGCCTTCCGCCTTCGTCCTCTTTCGACCGATGTCCCTGGGCTTCGGCTATCAGCAGACACGGCTTTTTACTTACCCGTGACAAGCCTCGGGGGACGAAGCGTATTCGACAGCTAAGTCTCAACAGAAGTAGCCGCAGCCGATATCTTTCCAACATCCTGTGATTTCTACAGTGTTGAATGCTGATAAGGCCCGTGGGTACTTCAGCCTGGATGGCGAGGAAGTGCCATTGCAGCCCATCCAGTTCTGGCCAGCGGGGCAAGGGCGCGTGATAGGCCAGGCCTGAACCTGACACCACGCTTTCCGTGAGCGGTTTTCGGACAATTTGGCATCCCTGTGGCAGGAAGCTCGTCTCCAGATGGACCTATCGACTCCGTGATGGCTGTCTGACGGGATGCCTTCCGCGTCCGTGGCAGAATCACGACGACCCTTTCCGACATGAATGTGCGTTCAGGGTCTACAGGCTGTACCAGCGAGATTTGACCAGTGTGAAACACGCACAGCCTCATCGACGGATTCTGCGTGCTGCACGCCGGCGCAGGGATCAACAGTATCCAGATCCAGCAAGCTTTGAGCAGGCGCCCTTTGGGGGAGAATCCGCCCGGCGAGATGGTGCGAAACAATGGGTATTTGCCGGGACTCAGCGGAGATCAACTCGCATCATTTCAAGACGACCATCACTGCTCCGTGCATACGCGCACGCACACACAAGCACACAAAGACATGTTCAGACCGTCGTTTGTCGATCAGACTTCTTTCAAGACCAGCTTATGAAGTCTATGTTCTCCTCCAAGGGATGTTCTAGACGTTCAGATGTTCCGGCCAGTCTAACCCAGACTCGCATGTGAAGCTACGGTACGCCGTGCCAGGCTACAGCTTGCCATACCACGGCAGCAAGAAATTCGGAAGCAGTCCATGTAGCATTGATCCCGATGGGCGATGTCCGTTCCGCCTCTCATCAGATGCACCGGTGTGCGGTCACCGTACGCCAAGGCCTGGGCGTAGTCAGAGAATAGTTGATGCGCATGCCGGCTCTTTGTTTGAAGGCCATCTGTGGGGTCTACGAGTACATCGGAGCTCACAATGGTCGACCGTGCTACCGCCAGTGGCTGCCCCAGAGCATCCCAGCAGAGGTTTTCGGAGACCCCTTCGGCTCAGGACCGGAGTCTCCAGTGGCAATTTCGTTTGGTATTGCCAGGACACGCGACTTTACACCACAAAAACGTATCAGGGGTGTGGCGTTTTGACGTTGTTTTTTCATGCAGCTCACTTTGCAGGATGCTCTGGAAGGGCCAATGTGGGCGGCGGGCCTACTGATACGGCATCCAATCTGCAGGGCCCTGCACGGGACCGAGACTACAAAGGTTGTGACTCACAATGCAGAGCGGCCAGGGGAGGCGCCAAGACCTTAGCGATCCAGGGTGAAAGCCTACAAACGGAAAACACGGTTCGATCGTGCTGCC